GAAATGAAGTCCCTGTTTTTCTTCTGTTTTGATTTCGTCATTTTCATTATTTGGCTGGAGTCAGTATTTCCCAGCTTTTAGAAGGTTTCTATTGTAAATTCCTCCATTTGAATAACTATTCCAAGTGATTACATACCATTGCAGTGGTCCTACACAAAGCTTACTTGTAAGAATTTTTAAGGCCAGGCACAGTGGCTCATGCCTATAATCCCAGCTCTTTGGGAGGCTGAGGCAGGCAGATCACTTGAGGTCAGGAGGTCGAGACCAGCCTGACCAACATAGTGAAACCCCGTCTCTACTAAAACTACAAAAACTGACTGGGCATAGTGGCATTCACCTGTAATCCCAGCTACCTGGGAGACTGAGGCAGAGAATCGCTTGAATCTGTAAGGTGGAGGTTACAGTGAGCTGAGATGGCACCACTACACTCCATCCAGCCTGGGTGACAGAGCAAGACTCTATCTCAAAATAAATACATAAATAAAATAATAATAAAAAATGCAAGCTTTTCAAGTTTTATTCCATTCAGAACTAATTATACTTGTAAATAATGGTGCTAATCCAACAGTTCTACCTTTATGTCACTAATATGTCCAAATTGCGCTTGTGGTAAAGCAATTGCTGAAGTTTGCAATGTCTGTGCATTTCTTAAGTTGCAATGAAAAACAGTTTACTAGATTTATTTGTTCTCTAAGTTTGTCTACATATTGTCAACCAGTGCTGAGTACATTGCACTATGTGCTCGACCAGTGCTGAATTCGTGGCAAAGATTCATTGGAAATCTCTGATGCAGTCTGTGACTCTTGTTTGTCAGTTAACTATACTTTTTAGTCTTAGCAATACAAAATGCTGTTGGCTACAGCCAACAGATGAAATATTAATACTTTTCAGGTTCTTATAATACTTTCAAACATTTTTTAGTTTGAACTTCTTTGTGGTTTACATAAATGGCATTTAAAAGGTGATGTTTGTTGCTTCATTAGACATACATATTCAGAAATAACATACTTTGGTTTTAGCACCTCAAAAATCAAACTCAATATGTAAAAGACTAGTAGAAATTCTTGGTTTCTTATTTCTTTGGAATAACATCATTATTATTTGCTTCATTGCTTTTTCACATTCATGCAAGTTAAACATTTTTACCTTCATAATTTTATGTGATTCACAGTAAATACTTGTCAAATTTACATTTATTACTACATTTCTCAAATTAACTCGTTTTCACATTCCTGCTTCTTGATTATTGTTTTTTCTTGACCAAGAAAGGTCTAGTAAAGTTTATTTTGTCATCATTAAATTAGAATAAAATGATGATTTTTTACTTTGCTGGTTTAGCTAATTATGTTAAAAGTGGGTTAAAAAACAGACTTGATGTAAATTAGAATAATTGCAAAATAACATGTAAAAATTAAATGCTTACATTTTCTCAGATATTTTGTAGTTTGTGTTGGAGTTAGAAAACAAATCTTAAAATAATGCACAATGCAGTGTGGCCCTGTTGTACATGCAATAACAATAATAATAGCAACAATACTAAATTCTTTTGTTGATAGCTCCAAGCTTTGGGATGTACTGGGAATTTGATAAAGAATATCTTTAGAAAAGAACTAATATTTTCCTGAAAGTTGATGACATTTTCAGATTCTCTATTTTTATTTTTGGGGGGAGGGAGGGTTATTTTGAAACTTTTTGTTTATTTGTTTATTTACTTTACTGAGGATTTAATTCCAACATCTCTATGCAAAATATTTCTGGAGGCATTAATTTTTTTTTCTTTTTGGAAATTTGAAGTTGTTTGGCTATCTTTTTTCTCATTACTCTTAATCAAAAGCAATCCTAAGTAATAAAATATATTAGAGGGCACAAATTGTCTCTCTCGTATATCACAACACTACTCAAATAGTGGTTTACAAACTTGTGTTGGTTAAATACTTTTACCAGTACTGCTAAAATAAGCCAGAAATTTAGAGTAAGCATTTAGAAACTTATATTTTTGATGTTTTTATCCCATCCCACTGGAGAAGTTTCTTTAACAAGGCATTGTGGAACTTGCATGTTGAGCAGAAAGTGCAAATATCTACCACTATTAGCAGCAGATGTGAGGAATCTTTGGACAGTAATTTCAGTGATTAAAAGATAATATTTGAAATAGTTTCTAACTTCTTGAAAATCAAAAAATATGATTAATTATAACCAACTCTGTGAAATATCTCAGGAAATAGCCAAAAGCTACAGGTCAATTTGCCTAACATAATGTATATGAAAACCAGTTTTAGCCTTCAATTTCCCTTCAATTTCTTTTTTTCTTTCTTGATGGCATGTATTTTTTTTCTTTTCCATTCATTTGGCATTAAACTCTTTAAACTAATTTACCTAAGAGTATGTCTCACACAAATTTATATTTCTAGATATTTCTGATATATGCAATGTTTTGTGTTTTTATTATACTTTAAGTTTTGGGATACATGTGCAGAACATGCAGGTTTGTTAACATAGGTATATACATGCCATGGTGATTTGCTGCACCCATCAACCCATCATCTACATTAGGTATTTCTCCTAATGCTATCCCCCCCTTGCCCCCTCCCCCATGACTGACCTTGGTGTGTGATGTTCCCCTCCCTGTATCCATGTGTTCTCAGTGTTCAACTCCCATTTATGAGTGAGAACATGCGGTGTTTGGTTCTGTTCCTATGTTAGTTTGCTGAGAATGATGGTTTCCAGCTTCATTCATGTCCCTGCAAAGGACATGAACTCATCCTTTTTATGTCTGCATGGTATTCCATGGTGTATATGTGTCACATTTCCTTTATCCAATCTATCATTGATAGGCATTTGGGTCGGTTCCAAGTCTTTGCTATTGTGAATAGTGCTACAATAAACATACGTGTGCATGTGTCTTTTTAGTAGAATGATTTATAATCCTTTGGGTATATACCCAGTAATGGGATGGCTGGGTCCAATGGTATTTCTGGTTCTAAATCCTTGAGGAATCGCCACACTGTCTTCCACAATGGTTGAGCTAATTTACACTTCCACCAACAGTGTAAAAGCATTCCTATTTCTCCACATCCTCTCCAGCATCTGTTGTTTCCTGACTTTTTAATGATCACCATTCTAACTGGCATGAGATGGTATCTCATTGGGGTTTTGATTTGCATTTCTCTAATGACCGCGATGATGAGCTTTTTTTCATATGTTTGTTGGCCTCATATATGTCTTCTTTTGAGAAGTATTTGTTCATAGCTTTTGGTGTTTTAGTCATGAAGTCTTTGGTGGGCTTGCTTTTATAGCCTCATGAGTTTCTTTTGGTCTTCTTTTGAAGATGTTTTCTTTTCCTTAAAAGAAATGTCTTACCTTCATAATTTTTTATAATTTATCTTTAAACACCTTACCTTCATAATTTTTTATAATTCACAATAAGCACTTGTCAAATTTGCAAAATTTGTTACTAGATTTATCAAATTATCTCCCTTTGCAATTCCTACTTATTGAGTATTGTTCTTTTAGGCTGCATGTGTTTAGCTGGACCTTATGATGCATTTTTATTGATAATATGAATTTGTTATTTTCCTGAGTGCATTTTAAGGTAGAAATGCCCAGTGTGATTTTGTTAGCTGTTAAAGAAAAATAAATGTCTGAAAATATTAATCCTACTTGGGAATAACTTTTGTTTTACATTAAAGTTAGACCCAGTCTGGATGGCACTCCTGTATATAGCTCAGCACAGCTGCTGACTTAAAAAAAACCCATTTGTTTTACATTTTGATGAATGTGGATTATTAGAAGCAGATCTTGCTATACACCAATAGCAATAGACAATGACATTTTGTGTCTATGACCCATCTTTTGCTGGATATTTTCCCATTGCCGCTCAGATCTGCTTCCCATTCTTCTTCACTTTGCCCCTGTACTTTCTGGCTTCTAGTTTGGTTTGGCAAATGGGTAGCATAGGCAGATGACTAAAGTGGAGCATGCAAGGAGACTGAGATTGGAGTTTCTATCCTCCAGGCTCCCTCTTAGAGGGCAACCACAGTTTGGCTGCATTTCTCTCTTAAAGGCCAAAGCTTTTTATTAAGCACATCTCCTCAATAGTTATTCTGTCTTGGTCTATCTTCCTCTTCAGCCCTAAGAGTGATAACACTTTATTTTGTTCTGTCCCTGAGAACACAACCATCTTGTTTTATAGCTCTGCCCATGTCTTTGGAAAGAATTCCTTCATTCAGGTACCCTATTTGAGTGTGCCCTACATTTCCTACCAAAACTTTGACTGATCTAATGATCAATTTTTAAATGTAGCTATTTAAAAAATGAAAGACAAAAAATGCAGTATAGATATGACTACCCATTTCATTACTTCATTTTGCTGACTAAAACTCCACTAAACACAAATAGGATGTCTTAGTTTTGGTTATGCACTCACAGAATATACTCAGATATGAATCAAAAGGAAAAAATTTCTGGGTGTAAAAAACAGAGAAAGCACTAACTATCTAAATGACAAAAAGACAGGAGACATGAAAAGGAGTTTACAAGAAACTTTAAAGAACAGACAACAGTGATATGATCACAAGTGATTACATAAAGTTTCCTATATACTAGGCTCATTCTAAGCAATTTACATGTATTGAACTATTTATTTCTCACAGGAACTCTATGAGGAAATACTATTCTCATTTTACAAGTGAGGAAACTGCGGCACAGAGCACTTAGTCTGGTTGTATAGCCTATTCTCTTAGCTACCGTGCCATGCTGCTCTTTCAATGATTTTGCTGATGAAACTACTAAAGCATAATAAAGACTAGATATATAGATGGATACACTTATAATAGTAACTTTTTGTATTTATTTCCATAATATCCTTATAGTTTACTTATTTATTTAAAATCTTCCTTAGTATAGAATTATTCTTAAGCCTAACTTTAGTTCTTGCTATTCTTTTCCAAAAATAATGAATTTGCATAACATATTATTTGTTACTATGAGTACATTTGTATGCTAACATACATTTAATATTCCTTTTAGAATTTATGATTGGTGAATATGCCTATTAACAAATCACCTATGATTAATACATATGGAGGCATATCTTCCCCTTATCATGAAGCGCTCTGGAAATTAAATTTTCAACATTTAAGTGAAGGAAGGAGTCGTAAATCAAGGTAAGCTAGAAAATAATTATAGGACCCATATGTACTGTAGAGAATTTAGAAAATATGGAAAACTGTGAAAAATAAAAATTCACCCATAGTTCTCTAACCAAAGGTTAAAATTTTAAAGTTTATTGTTTTTTAATAGCCTTATTTATTACAATTATATGCTTTCTAAAATTTTGAATTCTATACTTTTTGTTTGAAATAATTATCTATACTCATATGTTTTCTTAATTTGTCATAATAATGCATAGATTTCATGAGAAAATATTTGATAACTCCTGTATCATGAAGCATTCTGTTTAGTTCTAAGATCTTTGATATTTCAAATTTAGACAAAATAGAATGTTTTTCTATTTTGAAATATTTCAAATTATTTCCTTGGGATAAAGTTTCTACAATGAGTGCAAGAGCAATTTGAAAGAACTGTCACAAAGACTTTATAGTCACAAATAATGTACTTTTTCTAGTTGTTTTCTGTGGTATCCTTGTCCCAATACCATAGTGATCCATACTGTAAAAAAAGTGGGAGGAAAAGTTGTTATCCACCTAGAATCCTACAGAGAAGAAAATAAAATTCAAAGTGTATCATTAAAAAACTGAATGGTTTTGCTATTAGTCATATAAACATAATATGCTGAAGAAACATGTAAAACTGGTCAGTGCGTCTAAATGGTGAAGGATGCTACAAATAAAAAGCAACAGAACCTAAATATACAAACCATGACTAGATCATTCTATTACTAATAGGATATAGATAAACAGCGGAAAAATAATTTGTATTAAAATGTTCAGAGTAGTTTTAATTAATTTAAAAATTGAAAATAGCAAATGCTTTATAATGGAATGATGAAGTCAATTAAATATATCTGAATAGTAGAATACAATAGAAATGTTTATAAGAAAAAATTGAAACAGAAATTAGTATACAGCGATTAAACTGATTATATCAAATGTGTATTATGGATACCACAATTCACCAAGAATGGAGTATAATCTTTTTCAGCCTACCAGATAGTAATAGATACTATGCTAGAAAGGAGCAGGTTAGATTCTTCATGTAAACAAATTTCAAAAGCCCTGGATTTAACAAAGCACAACTGTTTTCTTTACTCCAGAAGTTCTCAGCTTTTTTATTTGTTTATTTATTTATTTATTTATTTTTAGAGACAGGGTCACCCAGGCTGGAGTGCAGTGGCGTGATTATAGCTTAGTAAAACCTTACTATAACCTATAGCTTACTATAATCCTGGGCTCAAGTGATCCTCCTGCCTCAGCCTCCTGAGCAACTGGCACCATGGGCACATGCCAGTATGGCTGGCTAATTTTAATTTTTTTTTTTTTTTTGGTAGAGATGGGGTCATGCTTTGTTGCCCAGTCTGGTCTTGAACTCCTGGCCTCAAGTGATCGGCACTCCTTTTCCTCCCAAAATGTTGGAATTACAGGCATGAGCCACTGTGCCTGGCTCAGTTTTTTTTTTTTTTTTTTAAATTTATTTATTATTATTAAACTTTAAGTTGTAGGGTACATGTGCACAACGTGCAGGTTTGCTACATATGTATACTTGTGCCATGTTGGTGTGCTGCACCCATCAACTCGTCATTTACATCAGGTATAACTCCCAATGCAATCCCTCCCCCCTCACCCCTCCCCATGATAGGCCCTGGTGTGTGATGTTCCCCTTCCCGAATCCAAGTGATCTCATTGTTCAGTTCCCGCCTACGAGTGAGAACATGCGGTGTTTGGTTTTCTGTTCTTGTGATAGTTTGCTAAGAATGATGGTTTCCAGCTGCATCCATGTCCCTACAAAGGACACAAACTCATCCTTTTTTATGGCTGCATAGTATTCCATGGTGTATATGTGCCACATTTTCTTAATCCAGTCTGTCACTGATGGACATTTGGGTTGATTCCAAGTCTTTGCTATTGTGGCTCAGTTTTAAAATATGCTCGTGTGTAGTATAAGTCCGCATTAGGGGGACTGATACAGTTTGGCTCTGTGTCCCCATTCAAATATCATCTTGAATTATAATCCCCATGTATCAAATGAGGGACCTGGTGGGAGGTGATTGGATCACAGGGATGGATTTCCCCTTGGCTGTTCTCGTGATAGTGAGTGAGTCCTCATGCAATCTGGTTGTTTGGTAAGTGTCTGGTGCTTCCTCCTTCGCACTTTCTCCTGCCACCATGTAAGAGGTGCCTTGCTTCCCCTTCCCCTTCTGCCATGATTGTAAATCTCCTGAGGCCTCCCCAGCCATGCGGAACTGTGAGTCAATTAAACCTCTTTTGTTTATAAATTACCCAGTCTCAAGTGGTATCTCTGTAGCACTGTGAGAATGGACTAATACAGAGACAGAGCTAGCCTTGCCACCACTACCTATACAACCTGCTTCATCGGAATGAACTCATGGAACATGTTTTAAGTATTATTAATTTCTGTTCAATGTCCAAATTTTTATTAGGAAAAATAACTTGCTAGATCAAATTGTGTTGTTAATAGATCAAAATTTCTTAAAAATTGTATGTGATTTTTAAGTTTTAAGAAATTGCTGAAAACTTAGAAATGTATAATGGCATACATGCCATAGAATTTAAGATGTTGGCATATTATTATGGGCTGAATGTGTGTGTCCCCACACAATTCATATGTTGAAGTCCCAACCTCAATGTGTATTATGGCCGCTGCAATTCACAAAGAAGAGAGTGTGATCTCATGGCAAACCAGATCGTAATAGATATTATGCTAAAAAGGAGGGGTTTAGGTTCTTCATTTAAACAAATTTGAAAAGTCCTGGAGTTAACAAAGTGAAATTGTAACACAGTTTGATGGTATTAGGAAGTGTGGCCTTTGGGAGGTAGTTGGGCATAGATGAGGTCATGATGGTGGAGTTCTCTTGATGGGATTAGTGTCTTTACAAGAAAAGGAAGAGCTACCAGCACTTACTCTCTCCTCTGTGTGAGGATGCAGCAAGAAGGCAGCTGTCTGCAAGGCAAGGACACAGCCCTCACCAATACCAGCCCATGCTGGCACCCTATCTTGGATTTCCCAGCTTCTGGAACATGAAGAAATAAAATGTTTAAGTCACCCAGTTTACACTGTTTTGTTATAGAAGCCCCAGTAGCCTGAGACACATATTGTTACATTTGTTTCAAATACTTTTCTTGAATAAAGAATACTTCAAGAACTACAGTTTCAGCTGTTTAACCCTATGTGCTTTCGACTATAGTAATTGTGGCGTATATCATTCCAGTTCATTTTTCTACTTTAATATACATGAATATGAAATTGTATTTTTCACATTTATTAATGTAATTCTACCTAATACATTTTTCTGTGACTTAGTTTTTAAAAAAATGCTACATTTTAACTTTAATCCATATGGATAATTATGTATTTTCTCCATTTTAATGGCTGAGAAATTCTAATATAATAAATTTTCCTTATTTATTATTTTTCAAATTTTTGACAACAAAATCAATGCCATAGTGAAAATCATTGCATATTTCTCCTTGTATATGTGTGCAAATGTTTCTTTTTTTTATATTTTAATGTTTACAGACAGGGTCTTACTCTGTGTCCCAGGCTGGAGTGCAGTGGCACAATCATAGCTCACTGCAACCTCGAATTCCTGGGCTCAAGAGAGCCTCTTGCTTCAGCTTCTGGAGTAGCTAGAATCACAGGCACATGTAACCATACCTGGATAAAGAAAAAAGTTTTTTTTTGTAGAGATGGAATTCGCTTCGTTGCTGAGGCTAGTTTCAAACTCCTGACCTCAAATGGTTCTCACCCCTCAGCCTCCAAAAATTCTGGGTTATAGATGTGAGCCATTGTGCCCAGCTAAGTATAACTTTTTTTTTTTTTTTTTTTTTTTTTGAGACGGAGTCTGGCTCTGTCGTCCAGGCTGGAGTGCAGTGGCCGGATCTCAGCTCACTATGCAAGCTCCGCCTCCCGGGTTTACGCCATTCTCCTGCCTCAGCCTCCCGAGTAGCTGGGACTACAGGCGCCGCCACCACGCCCGGCTAGTTTTTGTATTTTTAGTAGAGACGGGGTTTCACCGTGTTAGCCAGGATGGTCTCGATCTCCTGACCTCGTGATCCGCCCGTCTCGGCCTCCCAAAGTACTGGGATTACAGGCTTGAACTGCCAGCGTATTGATTTATTTTAAAAAATTTACTTGATGCTTTCTATGAGTCTCCAAAAGTATCTGAAAAAAAAAAAATACCCACACACACATACACACACACAGACACATATTTCCTTCCACAGTCTATAAGAGTATGAGAGGATCACTTCCCCTTGTCTTCACCAACAGCACTAACAGATCAGTTTGGGGAGACTTAACATCTTTATCCTTAACCATATTATAGTGAAATGTGGCATATCTCTTCATTTATTTATTTATAAAAATTTTCTCAATGCAGTTTTAGTGTTTTTATTTTTATATGGGTATTGTCTTTGCTGATTTCTTAATTTTGACATTATAATATCCATTGACACTTATAACGAATTTTTAACATTCCTAATAACTATGTGACTATCTTTTATGTTTGTTGCTGTTAAATTACTTCTATGTGTTGTCTTATTCTTATTAATATGTTGGTATTATTAAATATTTATTGTAAATTCTCTAAGGTATACCTTATCTTTAACTTTGTTTTAGTTATTGCTTTTTACTTACATGGAAGTCTTAAGGTGTTATAGTTATTATGTTTTAAGATTCGTGGCATGTTGAGTGTAGCTATGTCATTTTTGTTACTTGTTTTTCATTTCATAATGCATTTTATTAACATACTGCAAATTATCCATTAATTCTGTTAATTTTGGACATTTCAATTATTTTCAGTTTATGGTTATTATGAACAATGTTTCATACATTCCCGTATGGGCAATTCGCTTTGTTGCTGAGGCTAGTTTCAAACTCTGACCATAAGTAGTCCTCACCTCAGCCTCCAAAAATTCTGGGTTATAGATGTGAGCCATTGTGCCCAGCTAAAAATTCTGGGTTATAG